AATCTCACAGCCTTGTGGGGCCCCCCTACAACTGGATCCCATTGGAGTCCTTAACTCCCAAAGTTGTCAGCACTGAGCTTCCAGTAATTACTGTTCGGGTTTCCCTGCCCCAGCCCTGGTCCCAGCAAGGACCTCTCTGCTCGGTTGCTTATTGGTCTCTCCAGTTGTGGGTGGGTGGGTGGGGAACAGTGTTCCGTGTGTCCTTTGCTCTCGTCTGGGTCCAAGACGAGTTGCTGATTTTTCAGAACAGTAACTTCCAAGTTCCTTATAGACAGAACCAGAAACCAGCAGTCAATCCATTGAAACTTGAACTTGTTCTTTTGTCTTCTTACCACAAAGTATGATGAAGACCTGCTGAAACACTTGTGTTTTATTAGAACATGCCTTAACACATCAAACTCCTTGAAAGCTTGTAGGTTTTCTTGTTTTTGAGAATCCATATGTAGAGTTATTAAAATTTCACCTTATACTCAGCACTATTTTATTTTATAAAACTTTAATCTATAAATAGAGAATGGGCCCAGAAAGCACTGAATTTGTTTGGGGAACCAGGAGAAGTAAAATTGGTGGACATTGTTAAAATTCAATTGATTATATTTTGATCTTGTTCGAAATACAGGTTCTCATCGCATGTGGAATGCCTTTCAGATCTGAGCGCTGTTGTTATCTTTGATGAAAACTGAAATAATTACATTATCTGCAAACCTGAACTGTTAAAAAAAATTCTCCCGTAGGACCTTTAATTTTGTTTGGTTTTGTCTGAAAGGGAGTTTAAACATGGACATAAAAGGGGTCATTGGTGTTTTCTGTCCTTGCAGAGTGAGATTCTGGCTTCCCCTGGAGGAGGGCATGGCAACCCACTCCAGTATCCTCGCATGCAGAATCCCACAGACAGAGGAGCCTGGTGGGCTACAGACTATGGGGTCGCAAAAAGTCGGACACGACTGAGCATGCACGCACATCTCTGTGACCTGGACCTTGAGATTAGTGATGAGGTGGGCTTGAAGGCACCTTACACAGTTCTCGGGGAGGTGTTTGCCGTACTTATTGTACTTTGGCCACCCTCATTCCAAGTTCATCACACAACTTGTTTAACATGTTTACTTTTTAAACACTTGGAGAATTAACAGGTGGTTGCATGACTTAGATGTTTGTTTTAACAGGCGAAAAAGTGGGAGGTAATTTAGACACACACTGTGATGCAATAGGAAAATACCTAATTATTCTATTTTTGGCTCAGCTTTTAGTTTCAGTTAAAACTGCTGATAGCAAGGCTTAACAGGTCTTGTAGCTTCATATTGTTAACATGGTCTGCATGTGAGAAACTGACTCACTAGCAACTGGCTTACTTTAGTAACTTGTACACAAAACCTTCTACTTGACTTTAGTGCTAGAACTTAGTAAAGGGTCTCTTCTCAAAGTTTCTGTCACCAGCAGTTATAATGTGAGTACAGAAAGCTCCAGAAGCACTATATCTTTTTCAGCATGCTCTCAAAAACAACTTGTAACATTCTCTGTCTGAATGTAGAATGCTCAGAAGGCAAAATTCTGAAAAAACAGCTAATTGATATTTTCCTTGATATGTTCATCCTGATGTGTCAGGATATAGGTTATGATTGATTCTTGAACTGTCTTCATTCAGTGAGCAAAAGGAACAAAGAATTTTGCTAGACAAATAGTTGTTCATTTGGTTTGGGGTCATGGGACTATTGCCAGAAGTGGACATGGTGAAAGATAGAGATTCTATGAATAGATCAGAGATGGCTGTTTCTGTAACTTTTTTTGTAAAGGGTCAGAGAGTAAATACTTCAACATTTATGAACTATGGAGTCTCTGTTGTAACCACTCAAATTCTGCTGTTATCGCGTGAAGGCAGCCATAGGTAATACATAAGCAAGTGAGTGTGACTATGTTTCATTAAAATTTTATTTGCAGAAACAGACAATAGGCTGAATTGACCCAGGGGCCATCATTTGTCAAACCCTATTCTAGATCCCAGAAGATGCAGCTCTGGGCTACATGACTCTGACCTCACAGGGAAAACAGCAGTGGTATTCAGTTAACTGGACTAATAATATATAACTTTCCATAGTCACAGCCAAGACTTCACTATAGTTGTATATAGTAAATTTGTTGTCAGACAAAAGGGCATTCTTTCTTCACTGTCTTCTTTTGGGGTTTAATCTGAATAGTGTTATTTGCTATTTATTTATACCCTACTTTCTTGCCCAAATAATAGAAGGTATATTTAGGTTTTAGCATCAAAATAAAGATATAAAATCCAAACCCACATAAAAAGGCCACACCAAACTACCTCTGCCTATCTCTCATCCACTTGCTGACTCACACTAGTAGCTCTACCATTTTTGGACTGATCAGTCCTGGGGACACCTCCTAAGCTGAATACTGATATGCCACCTATTTTATCTTCTCTAGCATAATTTCCTTTCTGAAAAAAAAAAAAAAAAATTTCCCCAGTGTTTTATATTGTCTCCTACCAAAGGAAGTGTTAATATCCGTCATTTCTCTTCTGATTGAAGTATAAGCCAAAAACTGTTAAACCAGCTAAGTGGGTGTATGGAAAGGAAAGAGAAAATTAGAAGCTAATGAAAACTCTGGCGGGCAGGTGACCTGTTCAGAACAGATGCCAGGGCTTGGAGAGCCACGAAACTGTTTCCATACAGTTAAACATACATCTCTGCTCTCCAGAGAAATTGGAATTAGCTACTGGGCAGCCAGGTGGTCAGCAACACGGCTCAGAGGTGGACAGGGGAAGTGGGAATTTTGGCTGAGCTGCAGGGAGGGATGTCTGCTAGTGAGTGTCAGAATGTGGAAACAGGCCAAGTGATTTGAAGGACTGCTTACTTGAATTGGGCTCCAAAGACAGTTCCGAAGTAAAGAACTAACCTGTTCGAAACCCGTGAGTGTGTACAAATGACTGTTAACACAAAGGCCTCATTGATATTAGCTCTGACTCTTCAACCAAGTAGAGGCCAAAGGTCATGCAGGACCTATGCTGGAGATCTACGTGGATTTCACCCTGGGAAGGTGCAATGTATGTGCTCAGGAGGAGACTGGAGTTAAAAGGAAGGAAATCCTTCCCTAAGAAATGTGGCTACTAGGCAAGGATCAACAACATCAGAGTAGACCCAGAAGCCAGATGGGGGGCAGTCTTAAGGACAGACTGGCCACTCTCATGACAGAATTTTAAAATGTGGTAGATGAGATGGTTGGATGGCATCAACCGACTCAATGGACATGAGTTTGAGCAAGTTCTGGGAGTTGGTGATGGACAAGGAAGCCTGGCGTACTGTAGTCCATGAGGTCACAGAGTCGGACATGACTGAGCAACTGAACTGAACTGAACTGAAGTGGGCTGACTCTGTGATACACAAAATCTAAATACAAGAAATGCATTCTATAATCAGCAGCTGGGATGGTGTTTAATACCTGTTTTTTAAAATGTCTTATCTTTTCTCTAAATTTATCAATGTTCTAACCTTTAAACGGCAAAGAGAAATTAAGAATTTCCAACCTAAGCCATAATCCCTTTTCTCATTCACTCTTGGTGAGAGGGAAAGTTGGTCTACTCTCTGGAGGAGGGGTCTGCCTGGCTGTTCCTATCAAAGTAATAAACATGCCTACTCTTTGATCCTGCAACTGGACTTCCATAATTTATCCTTTTAAAAAACACACACTCTCAAGCTGGCCTAGATGTTTGTGCAAAGATTATCACTATATTTATAAATTGAAATGCATTGCAGGAAGAAAGTTCAGATTTCAGGAGTTTTTGGATTTTAGAACTCTTAAGGGATCACAGTGCTGGATATACAGGCACTTAAGTTTGGCAAGGATAAATAGTGAAGTGGGAAAAAAGTAAATTTCAGAAGAATGTATACAGAATGATCCTTTTTCTTAGAAAGTAAAAGTTATCAGTTGTGTGTGAAGATACATGCACGGGAGGTCTGGAACCATCCACAAAATTTCTCACAGTGGTTATGGGAAGGTGGACAGATCACAGTGGATTAACACGCTGATTAAACAATTAGTAAACAAAACAATCAGTAAAACAAAAGTAAACAAGCTGATTCTTACAGCCACCTCTCCTAAGAGAACAGCACCCTTCATTATCACAGATGCTGGGAGTAAGGAGATGGAGAGGCCTTGCTTCTTGTAATGAAGAAAACATCATGAGAAGGGAAGGGGGCTTTTCTTCTCGTAACTGTGTATGAGAGTCACGTGTTGTCATTACTGATACAGTTGGTATATGCCTATTTATCTCAGGTATATTCATTTGTTCATTAGTTCAGCAAATATTTATTGAGGGCCTACTGTGTGTGAGACACCATTATATCCATAGCAGTCATATATATGTGTGCGTGCATGCGTGCTGTCACTTGAGTTGTGTCCGACTCCTTGTGACCCTGTGGACGCTAGCCCACCAGGCTTCTCTGTCTGTGGTAGTCTCCAGGCAAGAATACTGGAGTGGGTTGCTAGTCCCTTCTCCAGGGGATCTTCTCAGTCCAGGGCTCCAGCCTCTGTCTCCTTCAGCTTCCGCATTGCAGGTGGATTCTTTTACCACTGAGCCTCCAGGGAAGACTCGCTCGTGCCCAGCTCAGGGTAACAGAAGTTGGTGTTGCTGTGAATCTGAAAGTATTCTAAATGTATTTTCTTTCTTCTCATAGTTTTTTTTTTTTTAATTTTAGTGTCTGAATTATGCATTTGTAATAAGTAGAGTTGTAATTATGAAACTTTCCAGAAAGAGATTGCCTGGCTGGTCTGTGACAGTGATCCACATGACCATCAAGTGGCCTTGGTTTCTGCTTGTATCCATTCATCCCAAATTAGCTGTGTAGGTCCTCGGCCTGCACAAAGAAAAAATCTCAAAATAATGTCATAAAGTAGATAGAGAGACGGAGCTAGAGATCTACATTTAGATATATACACATGTGTGTATTTTTGCCACCTGTCAACTCAAAGGTTTGTGTTTTCTCCCACAGAAAAAGCAAAGAACAAAGGAGCTTTCTCGGATATTTCATTCGTACAACCCATATGATCACAAGGTAAGAGAAGCATGTTATTAGTGTAATTGGGTAATATAAGTCCTTCTGAACATAGAGCACAATGTTCACCAGTACACAGTGATTTTGAAGTACATTTCTACCAATTACACTTATATTTCAGTTTTAATTTTTAACTCTTTATCTCTTGTAAAGAAGAGAGAAAATTTGTATTTCTGAACTAAAATATTCTTCTGTATTCACATTAAAATCTGGTTACATATTGTCACTGAATCCTCAAAGACTGTGAAAAGACAGATTTGGGGGTGTTTTTCGATTAGTGGGTTTTTTCTTTCCAAACAGTGTAGTAAATGAACTTGGCTTTTGAATTGATGAAGATAGTTGAAATATTATCTGCCAACTCTCAGTTCACCATTGGTCCTGACAGAAAGTTATATTTCTAAAAAAAAAAAAAAAAAAACCCTCTAACAGAAAGCAGTGCCTGGAATTATAACTGAAATATTCACTCCCAAGAGCTTTGCTGTACCGAAGACCACATAGTTAATGACCTTGCCCCATCCATCCAGTAACTTCATAGATCCACAGCTAGTCTTGTTGCATTTATACCCACACTCTCCACTCCCTGTCTTTGAAGAATTCTTAAGCCTCTTCTCACTGACAAATATTTCACTATATATTTATAAAACATAAATTCTTAAAAAAAAAGTTCACTAACTTTTTAAAGAAAATGCGCAATACCACATCTTCATGGGGAAATATATGAAAATATCCTGAGACTTGTTTAAATCTTCTATATCTTGTAAGGTTCTGATAAATCTGTTAATTTGAGGTGATTTCAGAAGCAAACAAAACATTTGCATGGTTGAAATGCTAATATAAGCTTAAATCTTTATCTGTGAATTTACAAAGAGACATGTGGTAGGGATTTTTTAACTAGCCAAAATAAGGAGTGTGAAAACTACTTTCTTCGTTTGAGAATACAGAGATGTCTGGATTCGGGAGGAAAAATGTGCCAGTTGTTCATAGAAGTTGAAAGAATTTGAATAGCTCCTGGTTTTTCTATAGTGACCAGTTGACTTAAGCATCAGAAATCTGTCAAGAGAGATGTTTGTATTCCATGTGACCACAGCGATGTACAAGACTAAACATTTATCATTTCAAGTTAAATTTTTCAAGTGAAATCGATCACTGCAGAATAGCAATTTGTTGGAAAGAACTTGAGCAAGCCAGGAGTGTCTGACAATGCAGGCGGAAGGTGCAGACTGATAAGTAACACAACAGCCAGAGGAATGAGATTGGCCAGATTTCCGATGGGAAAGTTGCCTTTTTTTTTTTTTTAAGACAGTGTCATTTAATTAACATAAATGCAACAGTGGCTGAAGTTAATATTTAACAGCAGCAGCAGCAATAGGCTGTGACAAATCAAAGGTTTTGCCTGACTTGTCTAATTTTGCCCACTTCTGACATTTTTTGAATTCACTGTTAAGGGAAATTCCATTATTCTTTTATTAGAACTCTTAATGGAGCTTAGCCACTCACAGCTTCTCCTGGCTTCCTCTTCATATCCTTTGTGGCATTGTATCAAAGTCACCTCAGATGATTTTGGCTTCCTCTGTGAAGACTTCATTCCTCTACAAATTAGTCATCAGGCAGTGAGGAACTGAACACAAATGCTAGATGGAGTTCCCTTTGATCTTTGCTTTAAGGTCAGTCCTAAATTACTGTTAAGTAGCTGGAAGGCTTGATGAGTGATTTTTGAAGCACCCAAGGTTTAGCCTGATGGCATTCTGTTTTATTCTATATGTGCAGTAAAAAGGGGGAAATTTTCTAGGAAAATTTCTCTTTCCCCTTACTCACTTCCTCATGTTTTTCTAAACTCCTTCCAGGCAAGTTTAACCACTTTAGTTTTAACCATGTCTCTTGAATCATGGGCATTGAGTGAGGTGCACTGTTTTCTCAATGTTAGAATGTTCCTTTTTTCTCCATAAATAAAGTAATAGAAGATTGTGATTTGAGTTACCTTGTCTTTTTAATTACCCAATTATATTCAAATTAGTTTTCTAGACAGATAGGTTTTAGTGTAAAATGTTTTGTAAGATGTGGTTAAAATTGATTTAAACATCTCATGCTCAGTGAGCTTTCTGGAGAGATCTTTCAGGTTAAATATATACATATGTTGTAAATGAAAGCTTATATAAAATAAAATATAGGCTGTCTGGGATTTGCTTTAAAAAAGAATTAAAAGGGGGACGTGGGTAGGGCACAGTAAAAATAAGGTTGGCCTTGTGTTGATTATCAAAACTAAATTATTGGTTTGTGGGAGTTCATCCTTCTTGTCTGTGTATTTTTTTTATATGATTGAAATTTTCCACAATAAAAATGATGCCAAAAGTAAAAAAAAAAAAAAAAAACCCACTATGGTCTACTCCTAGGAGTGTTATGGTATTCTGTTCTTCTCTAGCTAAATTTTTTTAATTGTTCGTTTTTCCCTTGATGTAAATTTGTACCAAAGAAGGAATACTTAGCATTTCAGAAGGTTCATCATGCTGAGTAAACTCAGAAATGCAAATCCTGTTCTAAAGTTAGCATCATTTTCTGGGGGTTCATCCCAAATTATAGTGGGTCACTTAAATGATAGTCTTGCCTCCAAGAAACTGTTAAAAAGAGTTGTAATGACAAAGGGGGGTCAGTCCCACCATTTTGTTCTCAGTGAGTCACTTATGTTTGCTCTCCCTTTCTCCACCAAACCGAGACTGCGCCTGCCTGACCCCAGACACAGGAAAGTCACCAGGTTAAACAAATCTGTTATTTGAGTGAAGCCAGGTGTGTTTCTTAATCAGACTTGAAAGCCATTGTTCAGGTTGTAAATGGTCAGTTGGTTTTCTCTAAGTGCTGTTGCAAAAAGCAAATAGAGCTTAGGGCAAAATGAGCACTCAGAATGAGTCTTGAGGAAAATACTCGATTTGTTTTTTTTTTATACTCTAAGTCAAATTTTGCTGGAGCCTGAAAGAATTTCGCTTTGGATAGTTATCTCTAGTCCTGTGTTCATCTTTTTTAAAAACTGTTTTTAGAAATTCTCATAAACGTACACAGAAAGGCTTGACCAAACCCTAAGTCTCATTTCTCTCTCCTAGTTAAAAGGGAACATTGGTAAAGGAAATCCAGTAGCTGCAGGTAATCCGATTGTGTTTTATACATTATATTCTTTCCTCTGTTGTTTTAATAAACACATAATAAACAGAGCTTGGAATTTCTGAAACCACATCACAGCTAACCACAAGTTTATAGGACCAAAGGTCTCCCAGGCCAAGGACAGCCAGCCTGGAGTTGCATTTTTCCTTTGGATAAGTCAAGGATAAGTGGAATAGGTTATTATGAGAACGTTGTTATTAAAGCTATGCAGATTCGCATATGCTTTTTGTCTCTGACCTGAAGAAAAAATTGCCATGCATATATAAGATGTCTCCCCCTTTCCTATTGCCTTCTTTTCTTTCTTGTTACATATTATCAGAGTTACGTGTTGGGGGAAGTCTAGGTTTATCAGCTAAACACAGATGTTTATAATTTGCTATCGTAAAATGCTACTATAAAATATGAGCATACTTGGAAAGGAAAAGGTTCACAATTCTGTTTAGGTCTGTAGTGGTTTTTACATCTGCAAAATTCAATACTTCCTAAACATAGATAATCTATATGAATAAATATATATTCGACCATTAAAAGTGAGTCTTTTAACAGATTGTCATGGTTTCAGTTTCTGTATTTTGTGAAGTGGGCTTCTCATTTTCTTTTAGTGACTGATGTTGTTTGAATAATTTTCTGCATAAATCAGTGGACACACATGAGTAGAAACATACTTGTGTTGGTGAAGTAAACTTTTCTTTGTCTTTTGGTGACCAGGTTGTTTTAATGATTTTTTTCTACACACATAGACATGTATCGCTTGAACTGTAAACAGACTCATGTGTGTCCAAAAAACAGCTGCCTGTGAATTGAATACACTTGAGAAGTTAGCATATGAATAGACAGAAAATCACTCAACTGGAGGTCTTTTGTGTAGCAATCTTAGCTGTCAAAAACACAACCCAGATCCTGAAAGTAAGCCAGCCTAGGTCCAGACTGTCACAATCATCTAATTCTCTCTCCCTGCCTCGTTTGTTCTTCAGTTCTCCATTCACAAACAGTCCACTTAAAAAAAAAAAAAAGTTCTAAGAAACATAGATGCCTGATTTCCCAAACCACAGTCAACTCTAGCAGCAGTTAAAAAGAGGGTGGTTATTGCTTCAAGAAGTCAGAGCTCCATTAAGAAGTGGCAGCATGCAAAACGAATGCAAGGACAAGGTCGGCTGTAAAAGCTCTAAGTCATTAACAGAGGGATTCTAAATGTGCAGCTGCCCAAGGCCACTTAACGTGAATCCAAATATCCCTATAATACATTTTTTGTAGTCCCAGAGTAAAATAATTGGACCTAAATTACCTCAGGAAACAGATGTTTTCTTTAAAAAATAGTAGAGATGTGAATAATCTATTTTTGCAAACATTGATCTTTTAAGAATAAATTGTGTTTATCCTGAAAACTCTCTTAGGAAGAGCTGGTTGTTAATCACGTTGGATAAATGAAGTACGTATTACTGTAGAGAGTGGTTTAATAAATGAGAAATAGTCAAAGAGTGGTTGAACATGTGTTGGTAATTGGGTAAAGAAATTAACCAGGTGGGACAGAAAATGTATGAGAGCATAAGAGGTGAGAGGGTAGAATCTGTCTTCCCCCCAATTATTTATTTATTTAATTAGATACTCTAAATTTATTAAAGCCTTTGAGAATCATTATATTTTTATCCTAAAGCTTATTCTAGGCATAACTTGAGTGAATACTTGTAAGTAGTGAATCAGTACAATGCATTTTTTTAGATTTCTTAATTACTGTGGGCGGCACTGGGTCTTCATTACTGTGCACAGACTTTCTCTAGTTGCAGTGAGTGGGACTGTTCTCTCTATTTATGGTGCATGGGCTTCCCAGTGTGGTTTCTTCTCTTGTTGCA